ATTACAACGCGGGTATCTCAGGAGAACGTTCGACAGAACGTTGATTTTGTTCTCGACCTTTGACGGGCTACAGTTGCGCTGTCTAGGGCACGAGAAGGGGTCTGTATCATTGGGGATATGGAACTCCTGAGGCAATCCAGTGTATGGAGGCGGTATATAGAACGGTTTCCAGCGTCATTCAGTAAGCTAAGCTTATTTTATTAATGGATAAAGCGGTACGAGCACCAAAAATATGGGCAAAGATCTTACTTCAGTTAAGAGGTAAGTCATTTTTAAATATGGATAGTAATCCAGTGTTTGTTAAAAAAAAAATATTTTTTTCTTTTTTGTTTTTTAGTTCAGTTGATTTTAAACATTTATTTGTTCTTTCTCTTTTTTTTGGTTTTTTATTATTATCATTTCATCTTTTTGCATTGCAAATTTTTTATTCTTTTATCCCTCATTTTTCAGGGATATATGCATTTTTTCAATTTTCAAGTTTCTTTTTTTGTTTTTTATTGTTGTTTAATCCTAATTTTTATCTTTTTTGTTTGTTTTGAGTTAAACTTTATTTTACATTTTTTCATTTTTGTTTTTAATTTTCTTTTTCTTTCAAAACCCTCATAAGAGGGACAAGATTCAACGCTAAAAGACACAAAGCTGGGCAAACTGTGGACATTCAAAAATCAACAAAGGAAAGGATACAGGTGATCTTATAAGCTGTGAATAATCCTATGTAAGTGATATTAATGCATTGTATGTGTTTATTCCTTTTGTCTTTGTATTCAAGTCTTCTTAATAAAATCATCTTAAGTTACCTTGCTGAAGATAATGTTCTCTTTGTCGAGGCGTTTGTCCGTCCGCTCCGCTTGGAGTGTCGCGACGGCACGCGAAATGGCCTCAAGGATTGAAGACGGTAATGGACCAGACATAATCCTAAGGGGAACCTCTTGGGGGTCATACTGGAAGATCATTGCCAGACAGACAGTATAAAAGCGCAAGGTGTTAATAAGAAGTTCAGTCTCGCGAAAGAAAAGGTGAAAGTTCGTGATCTTTCTTGAAACTTTGCTGTATCCTTTCTATAATTCCTAAGCTTATTTTCTTTGTTCTTTTCTTATTATTTTAATTACTTTGTTGAAGAGTTCTTGTTGTTTTGCGTTTCTTCGGTCAAATTTTATTTGTTCAAGGTTATTTATTTTGCTTGTGATGATTCTTTATCTTATTACTAGAGGGGGCATTAGAGGTTGGTTTGACCTGTGTTCCTATTCAATCTATAATATTAGGACTTCGGTACGGTGGGAGTTTAGGTCGGTAAGCAGTTTGCTCAGTGACTTAT